AGTTCGCAGGAGGGGGAGGCGGGGTGGGAACAGCAGCCCGGGGTGGGGTTAGTGAGGCTGTTGGGGGCAAACAAAGCCACCCTAACCCCGGCACCTTCCAGATGCTTCTTCGTTGCGTCTCCAATCCACCCTTTCTACCCGGGCCAGTCCCGCCGCTTCGGACCTTGCGGCTGCCAGATCTCATGGGGTGCATGGCGGTGCGACGGAGATGATCCCTGGTTTGCTTCTCCTGACAAACACACTGGTGGGTTGCAAAGAGGCCCCATGATTTTGTGAGACGTCCTTCGAGGTGACAGGGTCGTACTCTTTCCATTTCCCCTCTCGGCCCTGCCCTGGTGAGCAGGGCTGCTTCCGCACAGGGAAGCCCTGTGGTGTGGGCAAGCTTTAGGCTGGATGGGCTACTTTTGGGTAGTTTGAGGTGGAGCATTTCCTCTCTCCCCAAACACCTCCGGTGCTGTCTAGTAAAATAGACGCCAGAGGGATCTGCAAACAGGTGGGATTAAAGCGGCCGCAGACACAGCATCTGTGATAAAAGCAGAGGTGAAATCAAAGCGGAGCGCCACGCTCTCTTCTGTGCTATTCATCCCGGCTCTGAGCATCGCTGTACTTCTTTCTAGGTACTGACTCCTCGGGAAGACGGGAGACCGAGTTAGCAGGTTACAACGATGCAGTGTGCCGGGTCCCAAGGCACAAAGCACCGTGCAAGCAACGGGTGTGAGGCATGGGAGCCTTACACAGGACGAGGCCCTAAATCAGCAGAAAGGCTGTAATTCATAAAAGACAAAAGTATCCTTCCATGTATACGCTGGGCTAAAAACAGCAGCGCAGGGACTCTTTTTAGAGGCAGTGCATTGCCCAACACAACATGGGCACAGGCAGGAGATCTGGGTTTATGTGTAAGATGCTAAAGGATGCATGGAAAGAGGATTGAAAGAGCTGCAGGATTTTCTTTCTATCCCATCCAACTCATCCGGCTGGTCTCGGTGCCAGTGCGTGGGTTACCGCAGGTCCTGCTAAACGCTGGAACGGGGTGGGCTGTTAGGGTTATGCGGGCTCTGCCTTTTTTGCCTGTGCAGATGGCTTTCCTTAAATAAGCCACCCTTGGCACTCCACACTGCCATGCTGGAGAGCAGAGTGAAATGGTGGGGGTGGAAATCCCTTCGAAACAAAAGAAGAGATCAGCCACTTCTGTGCAAATTCCTGTCTGGAGATCACAGACAGAGCCGGACACAGGCACAGGCAAACTGGGCGGAAAAGGAGGCCTGAAAATGGTAATTTTTTCCCCCGTTGTGCAATTATTATTATCATTATCTCTGGCAAAGGGTGACTGATGCTAAAATTTGCCCAGGGCCTCCAGGAATCGAGGTATGGTCCTGATCAGAGTCCCCAGCTGTAGTTTCATGGACTGGGGCCCTGTGGTTTTGGATGGTAGAAACAAATGCTCTCTTGGCAAACTGGTAGCCTCTCTCACGTCCTCGTGACGAGGTATTTAGCCCCTGTGCCTGCACCGCTGGAGCAGCCTTCCTTGTAGAAATGCACTGAACCAGCAGCCACCTCTCTGCCTGCCTCTAGTGCAAGGGTACACGCGGCCCGTGTGAACGCAGAGGTGCTGCGAGAGCTCAGGGGAATCCAGGGGTGTTCGTCCCCTCTTCCCGATCGTGCATCCTAGCGAAGGGACAGTGTTTGCCTGTCATGCACCCACTAAATGTCACCCCCATGCAGTCCTTCGTGCATGACGCCCTTCTTGCTAGAGGAATCCCTGTTTCAGGAGATGGCTGTTTCAGGTCAGCAGTAGTCTGAAGGCACCATGCTTGCTGCATTGCCCTCAGAAATAAAAATCAGGAAGGGCCTATAATCTCGAGAGCCGCAGGGTCTCAGGGTTATGATTGCTCCACCGGGGTCTGGCAATTGCTCCGGATAATGGTGCGCAGAAATGTGCCCCTCTGGGGAAACAAAGCTCCTGTCAATGAATGGACTCAGAGGGACAGATTTGCTGCTTCAGCTTCCTCTGTGCAAAAATGAAGTGTATTTCCTACTGATGGGGATGTTTTACTGTCTTTTAACTTTCCCTGAGCCTGATGAAGGGTGCGTGAGCCCAAAAGCTTCCAGAAAAAGATATATTTTATTTGCAATTTCTCTGTTGGTCTAATAAAAGGTATCATCTCTG